TTGGACATAATGGTCCTTCAACCCTCATCATCTTATCCCTCCTCATTTGAATCCTTTTCATGAAACTAATTTGAATATCTATTAGCATAGTCAAAATTGATTTCTCTCTATCTTCTAAGAGAATCTTATTGAAACACTCGCACAAGTTGTTCAAGAGAATGTCACTTTTGGATTTAGTGGAAAAATGAGACTTACTCCACTTTGATGGATCCTTCTTCATTAACCATCCATAGGCACGTTCACTGAACTTCTTTATTTCCTCCATCCAAAATTTGTAATCAGCAACTGTAGTGGATTTAGCGGCTCTCCATAAGTAGTCTTTAAGAGTTTTGTCCTTGAAGTCTTTCCTAAAGAAGTTTGTGTACATGTGTAGTACACAGTACCTATGTTCAGCTAGAGGATAGCTAGCATCAATCACATTTTGTAACCCCTTTTGCCTATCGGTCATAAAAGTCCATTCATTGTTGTTATCAATTCGAAGATCTTCTCCCAAATGCCTAAGGAACCAACCCCAAGTAGCCATATTCTCCCTCTCCACAATGGCATATGCAATGGGGTATATACAATCATTGGCGTCTAACCCAACTGTTGAAAGCATCTGGCCCCCAAAGCTTCCTTTCAAGAAACAACCATCTAAACCTATCAATTGCCTACAACCTCGTAGAAAACCTATCTTACATGCTTCTAAGCATACCTATATGCCTTGAAATTTCGAATCGTTAACAGCAATTATAAACGTAGACCCATGATTTGTTCTTATCACTTCTGCAGCGTATGACCATAGTAGCCCAAATTGATGTTCATCTGACCCTTCTATCAACAATCTAGCATATTTCCTAGTCCTACATACAGTCATCCTATTAATCTTCAGTTTCAAATCTTCTTGGACCGTTTTTACAAAATTACTGGTTTTCCAATCGGGATCAACTTTAAATCTCTCCAAGTATTTCTCAGCAAGATACTTGTACGTGCAATGCCTATTTGTGCCATCTCTACTGCATGTATGTGTAGGAGCGATTGACTTTATTTGTACATATCTTCCCTTTTTGGTCTACGAAGCCCATACCCTCCATTTGCATCCTGATTTACACACCGCTTGTACCCTTTTGGCATCGTTAACTTTGAATCTAATATTAGTCCTACTCATAACCCCATAGTTTCTTACTGCATTCTTGAACTCCTTAATGTTCGCAAACTTCTTGCCAATTTCCAGCTCAGGATCCATCAAATTCCTTCTCCGGACAGAATTCTGGAAATCTAAAATTTCCTTCTTCTCTAGAAGCAGAATCAATGTCAAGCTCCTCAAACGATGGATAATACAATTCTTTTGGCTCTAAATCACATTGATCTTCTTCACCAAAAACATTGTTATATCCAACCGAGACACGTTCTGAAACATAGTTATCAATTTCAAAATTGTCATCATCTATCTCATTATCAGAATCATTGAGCTCGCCATTTATATCAACATCTGTGTTGTCCTCAAAGTTGAAGCCTGCACAAATATATATATAGGGTTAGAATTTTCTTGCTTGCTGCCTAGATAAACAA